GGGGGGGGGGGGCAGAGAAGAAGGGGTCTCCTTAAGCCCTCCCCAAAATTGCGCTACGCGCTGAATGAAACTTACGGATAGACGATATTCATTGCTCGCCCTTCATACGCTTCTTCCCCGCCGCATTGTAATGTCAATTTACTTTCAAAGGCAAGATTTCTCGTTTCGCTCGCCCGGATCAAAGACGGCGAGGCTCGCGCCTTCGGCCCTCGCGTTCACTATGAACTTCCTTCAGTCCATCCAGCGCATAATTACCAATTCACTTTTAAAAGAACGCACGTTTCAAGAAAGCCTCCAGAATTCAAACTGCCAGTTGCCACCGGAGCCGGGGATACAATATAATAGATATAAGTAGGCTCCGCGGCCGGGCGGGAAAATATGGAATACCTCTTCCTGTCTCATAAATTACTCTGAAGAATACCCTAGCAATGCGGGGTACTTCAGTTAGCATGATATAAAAGCTATTTTGCTGTATTGTTTGGTTTTTAAAAAAATTACACAAATGTAAATTTTCAAAAGATTTCTCACGGCGTCAATACGCACATTTCCAGCAATTTGTAAACACTATTGCATTTGTGAGTTAATGTACTTCAAATGATTTCTAATGAAAATTTTCAAAAACTCAAAAATTTTCTGTAAAATAGAGCTTTAAATTTCGAATTTACAGTAGCGTTTAAACGCTATTCTTTAAAACGTCTCCCTTTTTTTTTCAGAGAAAATTGCCATTTACCACAAGGCTTTACTGTTATTTAATATTCTTAAAAAATATTTCCGTTTTACTATTAGGAAACCGAAAAATTAAGAAAATGTACTTCGGGCGGTGTTAGATGGCCACTGGCAAGACCCAATAGCTAGAGGAGACCAAAGGCAATAGAAAAATAATACGAGAAAGTCTGTGCCATTCTGTAGCACCACTACTTTCTTTCTCCAATACGTACGTATATACGGAATAATATACGTAGTGTAGAGAAAGTTATTTAATGCTGCGTGGAAAAACGGCGGAAAAAAATTCATTGCTGGGCCCTGATAACGAAAAAGCTGATAAATCCAGTTGTTAAAATTAAGGGGTGAATCCCCTAACACATGGTGTAGCCAGCCATTTTGTGGGTCTTAGATACGAAAGAAAATGCAAAAAAAAAAAAAATCGACGGTAAAACATGGCTGCGAACACCACTAGCGCCAAAACCATATGTAGAATTTTTTTCAAATTGAAGAAATCCCTGCCGATCTGGCTCGAGTCAAAGCTTTGAGACTTTGAAAAACATTCTTTAAAATTTGGGTGCACTTTACACGAAGTCCCCCGGCTATTTTCTCAAAAACGGGTCGAAATTTTTTTAAATTTCTTGTAAGAATACAGTAAAATACACTTATAAAAGTAGCATAGGTCCGATTTCCACGGTTAACTCTAAATTTTCAGAAATTCCAAAATTTTGAATTATTGAAACTTTCAAAATTGAATATTCGCCTTCCTACAACTACAAAATTAAAGATTTTTCTTTCAAGTAAATTTTTTTATCCTTTTTACTTGTTTTCATTGTCATGAACATTTTTTTTTGAAAATTTTAGCTGTTTTCGCGCAACATTAAAAAATAACAAAAACAAGATTTTCTCAAAAACAGCTCCAAATGTTTGGTAAGGTACTCAATAATGTACTCTAGGCTTACATAACAGCATATTACTCTATTCTGTTTTTCAAAAATTACAAAAATTTAATTTTTTCGTCTCTCGCATCGTTAATATTTACATTGGCGGCGATTTGTTTACATTATTGCATTTACGAGTACATGCGCTTTAAATAATGTCTTATAAACTTTTCACGCTAACTCAAAACTTTTCTGTGGAAACGAGCTCAAAATTCAGCAATTTCATCAACGCTAAAACGCCATTTTCTAAAAAAAACACTCTATATGTGACTCCCCCCCTCCCCAAAAAAATTGTCTCTGGATCCGCCCCTGGATGGACCCTTCTCAGTGATGGTAATTACTACGTACAAAAAACGAAAAATGTAATTGTTTTCACTGAAGCCATTTCAAGATTCAAAAGAGTCCACAATAGCATTTCATAGACACAGTAAAACAAGTAAACAAATTCATTGGCAGTCATGATACTGGGTGGTCATGAGAAATAATAAAGATTTTAAAGAAAATAGGGTTTCCTTACTCTTAAATGCTAATGTGAATTTAGAGTTGAATTAAACATGCCATTAATTTTAATTATAAATTTTTTACAATAATTTATTTTAAATGTGATTTTTCTTTCTTTATATGCCTCTTGTCAATGCTACTTCATCCAGAATAAATGTCTTCATGCACGCCTATTTTAGTAGAAATGGCCTTTTGCCAGCCTATTTTAGGTAAAATAAATACCCGAGCTTTTAGGTTCCAGTTATGTACTAAAAGTTATAGTTCCTGCCATAATAAATAAATAAATAATAATAAAAAGAATTAAAGAAACAATTACTAAAATATTTTATTTCATTTCAGTTTATTTAATAAAAGCTACGAACTTCAAAAGTCTTTACTTTGAACAGTAGAAGTTTAACTCTCCTGTATGTTCAATTTTCTTACAACTCTACGAGTTTCATCACACTTGGTGTGCTCTAATTTGCGTTTTATGCGTACAATGTTTTTGGCTAACAGATTATTGACTGCACCGAGAGAGTTAGTGCTCCATGCTGGAAGCTTCCTAAGAAAATATATTATCAAATTTGCATCAATTTTTTAACAATCTGAAGAAAATTTATTTAGGTTTTACAATGGAAGGTATGTGATGCTAATATAGCATGTGCATGCGTGATGTTCTTGTCAAAGTTCTCAAAAATTCAATGTAATCCTGGTTTTGCAAATATGATTGGAAATCTTCTGAAGATCGTGTAGATTCTAGGAGAAGAAGATTCTTGAAGATCTTCTAGGAGAAGAAATATCTGGAGAATAATCTTGGAAATCTAGTGCAGTGGCATGTGTGAAATATGTGCTATTGATTTCACATTGTGTTGAGTGAAACGTTTCTCAGTTTAAGTTGTATTGAGAGACAATATGAAGTTATTCAC